ACGCCGCTCCACTCATTTGCCGAACCAAACTTGATTAAGTTCGACTTTAGAGCGACTTTGGAGCGACGGCAGGTTCAGACGGCGTACTTGCATCGAACTTAGGTCCGTTCCAAACGCCGCTCTATTCGTGCGCCGAACCTAACCGATGAGTTAAGTAAGGCAGAAGAGCAGCGTTTTTCGTGTGTAACTTTGCATAGAATCAATCTTTTTTCGTATAGTGCCGAAACGAACAAATTCATCTTACATCAAAGGTGACATTATCTTCTCCTAGTAATTTGTAAATACATTTCAGATCTATTTCAAAAAGTATTTTGGACGCTGGCGAACTGACATACAAGCGTTAGCGAAGTGACATTAGACGTTGGCGAATCGACGTCATACATTGTCGAACTGGTCGTTGGCGAACTGACATGTTGGCGAAACAAACGTTCGAATCGTTCATACGCGGCAAACTGTCACGCAACTTTTAAAGCAAGTTTACTCCTCCTGACAGCCCGTTGACAGCTATCAATTAGAGATAATTAATGCAAAGAAAGGTTTTTCTTGTGTAATTTTATACAAAATCAATCTTTTTTCATGGAGTTTTTTTTTTTTTGTGAGAAATAATCAATTTTGGCGTATACTGATACCTTAACTACGTAAATGATTAATAAAAAGATTTACAGGCGTTTCATACCCTACAAATAAAAGCCGTGGAAGGTTTCGACGTCATACGTTGGCGAACTGGTCGTTGGGGAAACGACCGGTTACCGTTTCATTAGCATTCTTATAATCGATTATCTATATTTGAGCGCATACAAAAATTTTACTTTCAACTTGAAAATGACCGTCGAACGGTCGAAACGTCGTTGTTTCTTAACGTTAACTTTTATAGTGAAATTCCTATTTACGTTTATTTATTATAATTCTTTTCATTTGTGACTTTCTATACTTAAGTGTGTGGTAATTAAGAGCCTGTAAGTCTATCATAGCCTGCGCATGCCTGGCTTTTGATCTTGCTTGGGTGTGTTCTAAGTCAATGGACTTTTTTGATACTTCCTGTGTTTTAGTAGCTGGAACATTCACCGCTGCAGAAACTGTTCTGTGTGTGAATTTATCTCAGCTAGTTTTCCTGTCTGGTCCTGTTTGTCAGCCATCAAGAATTATTTTTTATGATTTGTATTCCCACATAAATTTCAACTGAGGTAGGTTTTACAATTTCAGTCTTCTTCGAAGACTCGCTTTATTATCGTGGTGTTGTTCTTGGTGTAGCCGAAGTTGCATGGTCTATTGTGTTGTTGTAGTAACAGTTTATTGTACCCGGGATTCTGTCGTCGTCATCTTTTATGCCGCTTAACCGAGTACAAGTAAAAAGAGTCCGCGAAACGAGGCCATGTAGGACACGAAAGCCTCTGAAAGGCGATGAAACTGAAACCAAATTAATTGTGTACGACTACGCTCGGTTTGATCGAGTACAACTTTGTTATCTTAACAAGACTGGGATAAAATAGTTCTTGAACGTTTCAGTGGTCTTGTGATGCGGAAACTATGTGTAGGGAGCAACTTAGTGATTAATTTGAGGTTAAGTAAAACCCTAGAAAGAAAAGACCCCTTCCGCTCCATTCATGTGCCGAACCAAACTTGATTAAGTTCGACTTTAGAGCGACCTTGGAGCGACGGCTGGTTCGTACTTGCCTCGAACGTAATTCGGGAAGTCGGTGGTAACAATTTTCGACGAGAAAATATGCGTTCTGAATTCAAGAACTCTTTCCAAATAGAAAAGCTGTGACTAACCTTTCGCTCTTATAGCAATATTTAGGAAAGCAAATTCAAACTCAAGATTCAGTGTCTGTATTTAGACAGGTTTTCTCCCGGTCAATTCGACTCTTTAAAGGGAAATCTCATAAGCTGGACTATTATCGCGAAGTAAAAGCAAAAAAAGAATTTGCGCCGAAGAGACTCGCTTATACAGTGCCGTTTCTCTTAGATCGAAGGCATATTTTGTCTTTATTTTTACCGACGACTTCAAGCTTCATGCATGTTTGGTCAAGCCACTCAATTTTGAGCCAATCACGAGTCCTGTTAAATGAAAAATACATTACAGTAATTTATGCATTAAGTTCGACACACGAGGAGAACGCCGTATGAATCAGCTGCCGCTCCAACGTCGCACCTGCCGAATTTAATGTTATTTGCCGCACCAAACCTGACCTGCCGAACCAAACTGATTCAAACGCCGCTCTTCTGCCGCACTTAACTCATCAGTTGGGTTCGCCATATGAATGGAGCGGCATTTGGAACGGGCCTTAGCGTTTTTCATTATTCATGCCGTAATTTTCTTGTATTGTTTCTACGTAAATATTTTAAAGTTTTGGTCAGTGTGTCATTAGCATTCTTATAATCGATTGTATAGATTTGAGCGCATACAAAAATTTTACTTTCAACTTGAAATTGACCGTCGAACGGTCGAAACGTCGTTGTTTCTTAACGTTAACTTTTATAGTGAAATTCCTATTTACGTTNTCGCACCTGCCGAATTTAATGTTATTTGCCGCACCAAACCTGACCTGCCGAACCAAACTGATTCAAACGCCGCTCTTCTGCCGCACTTAACTCATCAGTTGGGTTCGCCATATGAATGGAGCGGCATTTGGAACGGGCCTTAGCGTTTTTCATTATTCATGCCGTAATTTTCTTGTATTGTTTCTACGTAAATATTTTAAAGTTTTGGTCAGTGTGTCATTAGCATTCTTATAATCGATTGTATAGATTTGAGCGCATACAAAAATTTTACTTTCAACTTGAAATTGACCGTCGAACGGTCGAAACGTCGTTGTTTCTTAACGTTAACTTTTATAGTGAAATTCCTATTTACGTTTATTTATTATAACACTTTTCATTTATGACTTTCTATACTTTAGTGTGTGGTAAGTAAGAGCCTGTAGTCTTTCACAGCCTGCGCATGCCTGGCTTTTGATCTTGCTTGGGTGAGTTCTAAGTCAATGGACTTTTTTTTATACTTCCTGTGTTTTAGTAGCTGGGACATTCCCCGCTGCAGAAGCTGTTCTGTTTGTGAGTTTATCTCAGCTAGTTTTCCTGTCTGGTCCTGTTTGTCAGCCATCAAGAATGATTTTATATGATTTGCATTTCTGCATAAATTTCAACTGAGGTAGGTTTTACAACTTCAGTTAACAGAATCTTCTTCGATGACTCGCTTTATTATCGTGGTGTTGTTCTTGGTGTAGCCGAAGTTGCATGGTTTATTGTGTTGTTGTAGTAACTGTTTATTGTGCCCGGGATTGTGCTATCGCCATATTTTACACCGCTTAACCAAGTGCAAGTAAAAAGAGCCCGCAAAACGAGGCCATGGAGGACACGAAAGCTCCGAAAGGCGGGGGTTTGATCGAGTACAATTTTGTTGTCTTAACAAGACTAGGATAAAATAGTTTTCGAATGTTTCAGTGATCTTGTAATGCGTAAATCATGTGTAGGGAACAACTTAGTAATTAATTTGAGGTTAAGTAACCCCCCCCAAAAAGAAGACAACTTCAAGTGAGGGAAGTAAGAACTTAAAAGCTCTTGAAAATCAGTTTTTAAGGGGCTGATCGAAAACTGCGCGCTTGTTCGAAACTTTCAAATTACAGCAGGCCTTGCATGATTTGAACCGAATACGGCTTGAAAAGTACTTAATAAAACTCGTCTATATTGTCTATATTATGAGATGCTTGCCCCTTAAATGATCTGCAGCGCAATCAATGCATAATATCATAATTCAACCCGCTTACTGTGATTTTTCTCATTCCTCAGGGTACTTGATTCAGTGGTGGTATTCAGTGATCCATCAACATACTAACAGAGTAAGTTTTATTTCCTTTACAACCTTACTTCGTTCACACGATTCAGATGTTCTCTGTTAATACCGCTTCCATCTATTAATACCGTTTGCATCACTGTCGGAAGGTAAAACGCAATCACGCATGGAACTGCTTTTTTCAAACTGCGAGGAATAATAAGTCTCTTTTAACGTTTCGCCAGCAAATTGTTCATTTGGAATCACGTTCAACTATCAGAACGGAAAAGTGCCATATAGAATTACTATTTATGATTTTTAAAGACTGCCCTTAAGTTTTCGACCATACTGAAAGCGTGTTTTACCTTCGCTAAAA